AGTTGGAGCCAAAGCAGAAAGATCATGGTGGAAGGGCGTGGTAGAGAAAGCTGTTTACATCAGGCAGCCAGGAAGCAAATTGAGAGGGGTGTGTGTGTGTGTGTGTGTGTGTGTGTGTGTACCTAGAGGAGGAGGCCAGGGACCAGACATAGTCCCCAAGTCACACCTCCATGAGCCACTCAGACACACCTAGAATTGTGTTGATTTCTCCCAGGTGCCTCTCCAGCCACTCCGATTGACAGTCAAGATGTACCTTCCCAGCCTGGGATCAGAAGCGTTTTAGATTTAGATTGTAGACTATTTGTGGATATGTGATAAAGTATCTGGATGAGGCCCAAATCTAAACACAAGATTTATTTATATCTCATGTCCATCTTACACAGATGACCTGAAGATAACTTTATACAGTATTTTAAATAATTTTGTTCATTGTGACTGCAGCTTTTCAAATGAAGTTAGGTGTGGGATTTTCCACTTGTGGGATCATAGTTGCTCAAAACATTGTGAATTTTAGAGCAGTTCAGGTTTCAGGTTAATATCCTGTATGCCGAGGAGATCTGGTGTCTTCAGGGTGGTATGGCTGTAGATTCATCCTCTGTACAGAGATGAGTAGCATTTAAAAAAATTATTTTGATAAATAAGCTCTAAGATGTACTAGTTTGGAAAGCACTTTTTTTTTTTGGAGAACTTTTGGTAAATGAGCTGTAGGATAGGGTATAATCTCTTTAAACAAATATTGTCCTTTAGAGCAGTTGCTAATATCGTTTTTTTATTTTTATTTTTTTTAAGGACTCAGAAATCTGAATCTGGTTAAACAGCCTGATTTTCCTCATATTTTATGCCATAAGGTTTTATATTCCTGCACTTAACAATGTGTGCTTGCATGTATGTGCATGTGTATGTGTTATGTGTATGTGTGGTATAGTGGGGATTTGGGGCCGATTTAAGGTATTTTTGTCTCACATATGGATGTGTGTTTCATGCTTGAGATTTATTAGCTTGAAATAGACCAAACACTATGGCCTGGTTTTGTTTTTTTTTTTTTATTTTTCCTGTTTTAAAGTATATTGAGCAGTCCTAGGTTTAGCATTTTATAAAGCCTGCCAGGACCTTCCTTCACATTTTAATAATCAGATGGGAGGCATAACATAACTAAAATTGAATGTTAAAAGCTGTCTTTTATTATGTCTTACAACTTTCTATATAGTTATTTAACGAAATTAATTTTTTCCTGTAATTAAATTTATTTTTATATAAGCTGCTTTTTATGTTTGCTTGGAATCCTAGCACAGTATAGTTGAGCCAGAAGACTTTTAATAGGATTGAGCTAGATGAAGTGTAACTGTTGGCAACAACTTTGGAGTTTGAAAATCTCTGGTGGTTTGGGGATAGTAAATGACTCAACTGTACAAGGTGAGGTAATTCCCAACACAGGCTATTAATAATATGAGATGTACTTCGATGACTAAAGAGTTTCTGAATAATGGTATTAAGGTGTTATACCAAATGGCAAATCGAATGTCCATAGAGTTCCATAAAGATAATTCAGTTATCTTGTGAAAATGTTAATTTTATGACTAACTCAAAAAAACTCTTATTTGAAATTCTATGCTCTGAAGATCCTTGGATGTGTATTTGAAATTGCATGTGATTAGTATATTTAATATGAGTATTCTTAGAATATGGTGAAGAATGGGGTGTCATTTGATGGAGTTAGTTCATTTCTTGTTGGGAAGGATGACCTTTTGGTGGGTACTTGAGAAAATAGCTGCTATCAGCCTGTTGCATATGCCTGGAAGAGTCATTTCTCCATCCTGCTTGTCCTGCTTGTCCGTTAGAACCGTTGGGTTTTTTTTTTTTTCTTTTGGTACTGGGGATGGAACTCAGGACCTTGCACTTGCAAGGCAGGCGCAGTGCCACTGAGCTAAATCCCTGGCCCCCCATTAGGGGTTTTAAAGACACAAAAATCTGAAACAATTTAAACCAGAATTAGGAGGCTAGTGCACTGGCACTGGTAGATTTTAAAAGCTCCACAGGCATTCTCAAGCTTGAAGACCACTGGTTTAAAAGATATGTTTAAAAGGAGTATTTGAATTGGGAAAGGCTGAGTGCAAATTACTGTATTCTTACCTGGATTGTACTGTAAAATGTATGAGGGTGGAAGTTTTGCCTTTTTAAAAGAAGTATAGCTCCTTTTCCCTACTACCCTCTAAAGCTTAGACATGGAGAATACTGTATGATTTTGGGGGAAACATTCTGGATGCATTCTTGCATCTGGAACAATTAATGATGAAAATTGTTTCTTTTTTCTCCGGGAAGTAGTATATCTATCATTTGGTTACTTTGTTTTCGCAAAGTCTCATTGAGATATGAAGGAGTTGGTGGTTTTAGTATAGTCATAGAGTTCTGCAGCTATTGCTACCATCAATTGTAGAACGTTTCTGTCACTCTAGAAAGAGCTCTGTACCTGTTGGCAGTCACTGTTAGTACCCCCAGCCTGCCCAGCCCTAGGCAACCATTAATCTAGTTCTTCTACGTGTAGATTTCCCTATTCGGGACATTTCATAGACCTGGAATCGCATAATGTGTTGTCTTTTGTGATTGGCTTCTTTGACTTTAACATACTGTTTTCAAGGTTCACCCACGACACAGCGTGTATTAGTAAGTACTTAATTTCTTTTTATGGGTGAGGAATATTCCACTGTGTAGATAGTAAGTAGCATGTTTTGTTTTATCCATTTAAGTTGATGGATGTTTGGGGCGTTTCCACCTTTTGGCTGTTAGAAATAGTGTTATAAACATTGGTTACAAGTTTTGTGTGGACGGTTTTCACCTCTCTTGGGTGTACACTGGGAGAGAAATTGCTTGGGTATGTTGCCTCATTTGAACTTCAGGGTTAAAAAGTCTTCCGGTAGGGCCGAGGAACACCGGCAGTCTGTGTTCTGGTAATCTTACTCTGTAGGACAGAGGGCCACTGTGAACTATTTGATCTGCTGGTTCTCAGAAGGCCTATACAAAGGAATAGCTGTTTTTCCTTGGTTTATTCTCAACAGAAGTTGGCATAGTCTTTTATTAAAGTTGGAATTTAACCATGTTTTTAAAGTCTCACCCTTCATCCCTCGTCATCAAAGAACATAGTGGTTGAACTCACAGTATCTGTAAAACTGCAGTCTTTACAGTTGGAGAAAGTGAGACCCAGAGGTTAAATAACTTGTATCAGCTCAGAGTAGTCAGGTGCTGTGTGCAGGGAGGAAGACTCAGTGCCATGCGGCTGTCTGCAGCACTGTACTGACCCTCGAAGATGCGTGATCCATGGACCTGACTTTGATTTGGTACCTAGTAATGGGAAATGGCACTTTTATGGGACATTAAGAGTTTATATAGATTTATTCTTTCAAATTGCAGAAGAATAAAAGCTTAACTTTTGTAAAATGCTGAAGAAATGGTTTTAAAATAATTTTAGATCCATTTCATCTTTCTAAGACGCATACTGTATATGCAGTGCCACTGCACCATAGCTTATGTGACTGACTTTTAATAAACTAAACCGGGTACATATGAAGTACACCTTTTCCAGTAGAAGTATATTGTAGTTTACATTTTGAGGGACACTTAATTTTTTTTGTATTCTTACATATTCTAACCATAGGTGTTGAGCTTTAACCTCTGTTTTGAAATTGAATGTTATCCATTAAAGTGGACATTTCAGAATTGTGGAAAGCTGTACATTTGTTTTGGTGATTATATTGTTTCTACACATAAACAAATCGTCCTAGGTATAGTTTTCATGTCAGCATTTTGTATTTGACAATATTTTCCCCATGGTACTATTTCTCTTTATTTACATACTACGACCCCACATTTAGTGTGGCACGCATGCGCGCGCACACACACACACACAAAGGTATTTATATTATCACACTGTCTCCCTTGGTATAGAGTGCTCTTTGATACATTGTTTTGTATTGTTGTACATTATAGAGTATCATTTGGGTATACATTATCCTACCTCATTTTGGTTGCTTGTAGAAATCATTTGAAGGAATCAATTTGGGGGAGGGGAGGTGCTTCTAGACACAAAGAAATTAACACAGATTTAATAATTAACTAAGGCTTTGGCCCTGTAACCATAAGCAATGTGTGTTGAGAACACGGTTTTCTAGATCACTCTAAAGTAGGAAGAGGTCGTGTTGTGGGGAGTAGAATGACACATTTAGGGACTCGGCTGCCCTCTAGCCTTTTGAGTGGGGCTTTCTCTGTCCTGCTGCAGGAGTTCACATGTGCCAGAATTTGGTGAAATCTTTCTTCTGTTAATTGTCCCCCGTGTTCTTTGGAGAATTTCTACATTTATTAATTCTTTTCCTGTAATTTTAGAGTGATCTGAGAAGGCAGCTGCTTTGTGCTCAGTGTATATATTTAATAAGAAACCCACATTTCTCTTAATTTTATGGTATCTTTTCACTCCTTGGTGTTTAAAAAACATTGTGATCACCACATGTGATATGGATTTTCTCTTCTGTTTATAGGTTTTATGCCAGATTTAGGATCTAGTAATTTGGTAGTTTGAGGGGGTTATGTTTGGTCTCAACTATAGTGTATTAATCGGATGGACTATTGTTCACTAAAAATGGACCAGATGTGGAATATGAAAGTGCATTTTTGAGATCTGGATGATGCTGATGCATTGCTGCCAGTCCACAATCTCTGCAGATCAAGGGTAGTAGAAGTTATTTTGAGAAAGTAGACAAGATTTCCTTACTGTGAAACTCAAGCCTGCTTTGGTATTGAGTCATGGGTGAAGTTATATAGATTATTTGAGACTAGCCTGTAAAAAGCCCAGTGCATGCAGGGTGAATCCTTCTTAGAAGCACAACTTAGAAGTTACTGTGTTTTGGTAGTTGGGCTATAAGGAGTTCTGGTTTGTTTTTGCTTTGAGGCAGGTAGATGGACCAGAGGCACCCCCTTAGCCCTGGTATTTAATAATCTGCTTTCTTCCCCAGATAAACAGGGGTCACATGACAACAGAAGCCAAGAGAGCTGCAAAGATGGAAAAGAAGATGAAAATTTTGCTGGGAGGCTACCAGTCTCGTGCCATGGGGCTCATGAAGCAGCTGAATGACCTGTGGGACCAAATTGAGCAGGCACACTTGGAGCTACGTACTTTTGAAGAACTCAAGAAGCATGAAGATTCTGCCATTCCCCGGAGGTTGGAGGTAATGTGGAGTTTTGCCCCGCAGCCTTGCTTAACAGGAGAGCTAGTAGGAGCACAGACTTCCTCTTCTCCTGCATAGGCCATCTTGGAAGTGGGTCTGGCAGGCTTTTTCCAGTGAGAGCCTCGCATGTGGCTAACTCACTGTGTGTCCAAGGGTGGACAGACAGATGACGGTGGCAGGCCTTCCCTGCACCCACTTTCTGCATTGTCTCTAGGTACACTGGTGTGGTGGAGTAGGCAGCTCTTATCATTTGTCCCCCTGGAGTTTAATTTCATCCCATTCATGTTTCTTTGAGGGGAAACCTTTGTGTGGTAACTTAGGGTGCAGGAACCTAGCTGGTCACTCCAGAACTTCAGACTCCTCTGGCCAAGGTTGTTAGATTTCTCTCCCAAGTATGTGTGAGAGCCTCTGTCTGGTTACAGGGCCATCAGCACTTAGGGCATCTGTGGGTTTTGATAGGACAGGAGTGGCTTGTTTGTCTGAGGTGGCAGCAGAGATTTTACAAGGAGATAATGTATGAGCAGAGCAGAGAGGGGCTGCAGGACTGATTTCACAGTAGGAGCATTTGCTCTGTTTTCTTTCTGGAACATCTGTCTCTCAAGAATTATGAATGAATGCAGCTGTTTCAAAGAAGATGCAGTAATTTTCAGTTTACTTACATATGAACTAATCATTGACTTTCTGTCTCTTCTAGTGTCTAAAAGAAGATGTGCAAAGACAACAGGAAAGAGAAAAGGAGCTGCAGCAGAGATACGCTGATTTGGTGGTGGAGAAGGAGACTTTAGAGTCAAAATTCTGAAATGCAGTCTATTCTGTCACAGGGCGAATTAACTGCAGGGTTTCCTCACACAGCTGATGCTGATGGTTACCTTGGTGATAAATTGACCCACTGCCTTTGGTTTTTTGATTATTTTAAATGATCTTGATCACATGCATCCTGTGTTGAAGACATCTAACTCCAAAGGACAGATGAGGGTTTAAATTATTAAGATGATCATTCTTTCACCAGTGTCATATTTGCAAGATTTTTTTTTTAGTTTTGGTCTTTAATTTAAAAAGCCTGACTCTAAAGTACTGCCTGTGACTAAACCCTTGAATAAAAACAAAATATAACAATTAAGAATGTAGCCTTTTGTTTGAAATAAGTAGATGCTTAAGAGTGCCCGCAAGCCAGGCACTGTGTGCTCTGTCACTTAGTGAGTCACTCTGGGGGGGAGCGAGGGTTGATCAGTGTCTAGCGGCTCCTGTGGCTTCAGCACTGAGCAGCCATCCCTCTGCACCAAGATAGATTCACTTGTGAGACCTTTCGGTATCACTTTAGGAAGGGCCTTTTCTCTGCAGGCTACTTACATAGTTTCTGAATTATAACTTAAGAGACATAATTTTTCTTGACTGTTATTTCTTGTGAGCACTTTTTTGACAAAGGCAAAGTTATTTCAACAAGGCCATCAAACTTCTCAGTATAACAAGTCAATTACACAAGTACAAACTTTGGAAAATGAGTGGAAGTGGAAAGATTAGTTTTAAAATAATTCATATAAAAGGATTCAGTACCGTGTCAGCTGCTTGCAAGCTCATGATGGGCTAATGATGTGTTGGACTTACCAAAAAGTTGGGCCGGTTTCAAAATATTAGAGACTAAAGGCAGAGAGGAGGGATTAAGTCATTCACACACCAGTATTTGTTGAATAAATACCCTTTGCCAGAGCCTTGGAGATAGGACAGTGAATCAAGTAGCCTTGCTTCCTGTTTTGTGGGGTTTATATTCTGTTGAGAATGACAGTTAAAATCCAAACACTTAGTGTTGGAAATGAGCATTCATAAGACAGAACCCTATGAGAAGATTCTGAACAAAGGAATGCAGCATCCGATTGGTTCTGGTGATTTCTCTTGGGTTTTCTAGGAAATACATTGATATTTCTTATGATATTTCTTCTAATAGTTCTATTAAATTTTCATTGCATGTTTTGTTGGCCTGTGGCAGGGACCATATTAGGTAATGCTGATGGTAGATATTGTTTTGTTTGTGGTTTTAATGGGAATGTGCATTGTGTTTTACTTTTAAATTGGCTGTTTTTAGTTATCTAGATAAGTAGTATCTTTGTTTTTAGTTTTTAAAGAGTTTGAATTAGAAATGGTTCTGGAATATTGTCAAGTATACCTTTGGGCATCTGTTATGATGATATGGTTTTTCCTGGTTGATGTGTTGGTAACTTATATTAATAGATTTTCCAGCATTAAACCATTGCTGTACTTCTGGAACCAGGTATATTCATTTTTTTTTTTAGAATAAAAGATTTACAGGGTTTAAAATTTTTGTATTTTGTGTAGACTTGAATTATATACGCTTAAAATAATTGATCTACTAATATTAATAAAGACACTTTGTTCTCAAAAATTGAAATAATGCTCATACTTATACCTAAAAAAAGTCACCAAAATTTCAGCTTTAAAAGTGGAGTCTCAGTGCATGGTGAACTGCTTACACTTTTGTCACACTGCACCAGCACTCACTAGCAGACAGACATGCGGCACCCTTTGTGGGTGTCCTGGAGGGCCGGGCCCTCACCTGCACCAGCCCAGTCTGTGTGGGAACTGCTTCAGCCTTCCTGTCGGGCACTCAGACCTTGGTCCTGAAAGCCATGTTCGTCTTAGTGACTTGGGACGGAAAGTAAATCTGATCAGGAAAAACTGGAGGCAATACTGAAATAATGAATAAAATAAAAGAAAGAGTGCACTGCAGTGGCTGCAGACTTGCGCTGTCCAGTACACATCCTCTGTAGGAATCCCGAGTCCTCAAGCGTGACCACCCGCTGCTGTGCAGGATTTGGCTTGTTTGTCTGTTTCGTGGAAGTTTACATTTTCACACGAGCAGAGAAATCTTTTGGGCTATTGTACAAATTGTAACACTGGGATTTTACTAGCTCCACAAAGTAAATGGAATGGCTGTGTGCATTTTTCTGTGCACTAAGCAGTTATTGCATGGGGGTTGTTTGTTCCATGAAGACGGAAAGATTGTGCTTGTAAAACCTTACAGTTAAGCGCTCTGTTTGGAAATAATTTTAGAATTGTCAGGTTCTTTTGTGATTTATCTGTTATTAAATGTAAGCAACTTTAAATTTAAGGTTTTCTGTTCTAAAATGTATTCCTCATTTACTATATTTAGTATGTAATTTATATTTTTCTAGTAGAATTTTCATCTTGTTGAAATTGAACAATTTTATTTGCAACAGAAAATTTTAGTAGAAATCTCTTTCCACTTTTGCCACTTTTGAGACATTTACCTTCTCCTAGTTCTACCATTTTTACTTTTCATTTGATTAGTCTTGGTAAAGATAAGTTTTTTCCCATCAGAAAACTAGTGTTTTGATTTTTCAGTTATGATTCTTTTTGTGATTTAAAATAATAATTTCTCATTTTATAGTTATTTTCTTTACATTTTTTTCTCTTACATTTGAGTGTGATGCTTGTTTTTGATTCATGTGCAGATGACTGTGTGGAAGGCTTTTGAGTTATCTCAAAGTTAAAAAAATATTGAGGCCAGGGATTTAGCTCAGTGGTGCTGTGCCTGCCTCGCAAGTGCAAGGTCCTGAGTTCAGTCCCTGGTAGTGGTGGGGTATGTTAACATCCCAGCTATTTTGATGTATAGTATCCTTGTTTTCTAAGTAGTTTATCATTATCTTTCACGTTTTAGTTCAACAATTAAGAATATTTAAAAATTTCTGAGTGGTTAAAAAAATTTTTTTTTCTACTTGTAGGATTTTTGTATTGTGGAAAGAAAATAGAATTTGTGGTTTTTGCTTTTTTAGAATTTATTGAGGTTTTTGGACCTAACATCTTTATTTTTTATTTTTTGGGGGGTTGTTGAGACAGGGTCTATAGCTATGTAGTTCAGGCTGGCCTTGAACTCACTATATAGCTGAGGCTGGCCTTGAACTTGAAGCGATCCTCTTGCCACAGCCTCCTAAGTGCTGGGATTATAGGCTTGTGCCACCACACCTGGTGGGACCTAACATCTTTAAAATGTGTTCGGTGGGTGTTTTAATGAAAGTTTATTCAGTTTGCATGTGACAGATGCAAATGTGTATTTATCAACCAATTTAATTACATTATGGAAATTTAATTTTTTGGTTATAAACTATAGAATGTTATTTTAAATGTTATAGTTATTCCTTTCATTTTCATTTGTCTAGAGCTTTTGCTTTGTATATTTTGGTGCTATTATTTATACTGTATAATACATCTGTTATGTAGAATTCATAAGAAAGACTAAAGTTGCCTTTGTTTTTGTGGTACTGGGGATTGAATGAGGGGTGCTCTACTCCTGAGCTGCATTCCCACCTCTTTTTATTTTATGTTTTGAGACAGGGTCTTGCTAAGTTGCCCAAGCTGGCCTTAACCTGGAAGTGTAATCCTCCTGCTTCAGCTTTTTGAGTAGGTGGGATATTAGGTATCTGCCACTGTGCCTGGCAAGTTGTTCTTTCTGCTCTACATGTTTTTGCTTTGGAATTTTATTTTGGTTATTAAAAGGTTTTTCTTTTTTGTTTTACATTTGCTTGCTAAAATTGTATATACACTTACTTTTAACTTTACAGTATAATTTTTAGTTGTCTTTTATACAGTGTATCTTAGATTTTGTTTCAACACATTTGAAGAGTCTTATATCTTAGTAGAGTCTACTCCATTGGGATTTATGTTAATTACTGACTTAATCTACTGTGATCATGCAGTGTTCCTCAGGGTCCTCTGGTGCTGTAGCATGAGTGTGTCCCCAAGATCCTGCGGTGGGGACCTGACTTCCCACTGCAGCACTGTTGAGAGGAGGGATCTGTAAGAGGAGCTCAGAGCCGCCCTTGTGAATGCGTCAGTTATTATCAAGGGAGTGGGGGTGGTAGCAGGACAGGTTGGGCCCCCTGTTCCTGTGCATATGTTGCTTGCCCTCACCTCTGTCCTGAGATGACCAGCAGGGACGCTTGTGCTGGATATGGGCCTCGATCTGGCCGTGGCCTCCAGAACCACAGGAAGTAACTTTCTGTTCTTTGTAAATTATTCCACGTCAGTTATTCCATTAGAGCAGCACAACACAGGTAAGCATGTAACAGAGCAGAAGGGTTTCTAAGGTCCAACTCCAGTTTCCCAAAGCAGGGAAAAAGGGTGATTTTGGAGCAGACCATTGATTCTGATTGCCATTGTTTCGGCAGTTTGTGATTTTTGTGATAATTTTGTAATTTTGGAGCTGCCATTGTTTTGCAACGTCACACTCAAGGCTACCGTTTTATTAACTTGTAAGAATGCAGCAGTTATCTGTGATTATAGCTCCTGTGTGCCTGGTCAGGGATTATTTCATGTGCCTCTGGGGAGCCTCCAGGATGTGCACCCTATTTCACTTGTTCCGGGCTGTGTTTTTCATCTGAGTGTTGTCCCTGGTGGCCAGTCTGGGTTGGGATCCACTTTTTCCATCTGCCTGGCCTCCTAGGTTTGGATTATTTGTCCGAAGTACTTGCTTGGTTCCTTATTCTTCATTATTTCTTTGGGTCACCTTTATTCCACATTGTGTTCGGATATAAGGCCAAGGAAGGGCATTCAGAAAATAGTATCTCTCTTTAAAACTTTATTTTCATCAGTAATGCATACGTTTTACAAAGTCAGATTCTGGGAAAATGGTGATGGCTAGTGTGTTTTTGGGCTTTTTGGGTTTTCTTTGTTTTGGATTTCTTGGGTATGTTTTTACTTTGTTTTTTTTTGGTACCGGGGATCAAACTCAGGACCTTGCACTTTCGAGGCCGGAATGGTGCCACTGAGCTAAATCCCCGGCCCCTATTTTTACTCTTCATAAAAATAGCAACCAAAAGCCCTTGGATAACATTAGTAGCATAACTGGGTGACAAGATCCCCCATGAACTCCAGCAGGCGCAAGACCTGTGCATTTCTTGGCATCTGCAGGGAAGCAGAGAGAAGCAGTGATGTCGGACTTTGAAGTACCAGTGGCTCTTGTGGAAAGCGAGAACCCACTTGAGAACAGGAGCAGAGACAGGTGTTTTGCACCCTCTGGACGTGGGTGAATGAAGGGAGCAAGGGTTTGGAGACAAGTTAGCAGCCTCCACTTAATGAATTAATGTCCTTTTTTCCTCTTTTTTTCTTTTAGGTAGAATTGAATATTTCTGAAGTCTAGTTCTATCTCAATGTGATTTTTTTTTTATTTGAGAAAACTAACAGTAAAGGATTAATATTGAAAGCACAATGACATGTTTGTTTGCCATGTAGAACTGTGGGGTCCAGTGTGGCAGGCACCGGCTGGGTATCACTGTTGACACTTGAAACAGGCCTGGCTGAAACTGAGATGTGCTGTAACTGTAAAATACTGGAGTTTGAAGACTTGACATGGAAAAAAAAAGAATGTAAATAGCTCATTTTTTAATGTTGCTTCATGTTGAAATGAGTATTTTGGGTGTATGGCTAAATAAAAAATAATTGAAATGAAGCCCACTTGTTTCCAAAACCTTTGTGACTAGTGGAAAATGAAAATTTAAAATTGTGTATGTGGCTTGAGTTCTGTTTCTGTTGCATTCCACTGTTCCATTTTTAAAAATTGATTTCTAATTCTGCTTTGGCTGGGGAATATACCTTAGATGATTCAGTCTTTAAATTTATTGAATCTTTGTTTTACAGTCCCCCATATGGACTGTCTTGGAAACTCTTCTTGTCCACTTGAAAACAAAGTATATTTCCCAGGCTGTTGCGTTCTCTGTGTGCCAGCAAGGTCAGCTTGCTGATAGCATTCAGCTCTTTCCTGGCCTGCCATTTCTCTCCTTGTGTTCTGCTCCACGCTTGGAGTCTGTTGAGACTTCCTATGGTTGTGCATTAGCCTGTGCCTCAGCCTCTCAGGTTTTGCTTCATGTTAGAAGCTTTGTCTTGTCATCATACACATTAAAGGTTATGATGTCTTGGGTCGTCTGATGAGCTATGGACATTTGAGGTCTGGAGATAGCTGAGCTTGAAGGGAAGGTGGCATCTTAGCCGCAGGACCCCATAGTGGGCATGGGCACTTAGGTGTCCGGTGGGAGCTGCCACTTTCCTGGTGCATGTGTGGGGTGCCCCTGGAGGTGGACTCCTGTGGAACCACAGACAGAATGATTATTTCCCCGGTCGCCTATTTGGTTTCATTTCCACCACTGCTTTGGTGATAACCAGCCTGCATGCATGGCTGGGGTTACGATTTGGGTCTGGATGTCCCCCCAAAGCCTCATTCGGTTAGAGGTAGCTGAATCTGGAGTGTGTGATGCTGGGATTAAGGATGTGTGATTACTAAACCACTACACGTGAGTGAGTGGTAGAGCCCTTCTCTCATCCCAGCAGTCTGGATGAGGTAAAGGGAGCCAGGAGATGCTGTTAAAATCC